AACTAGGTCGATTATGAATTCCTCGAAGCGATCACCCTGCTGGGATCGACTAGCTTTCTCGATCATTAGTCTGGTCGAGCGATGGATTGCTCGATCATTCGTCTGGTCGATTCCCTGAATGTTCGATCTTCCCGCCTTTTGGCTCGGCTCCCTCTTGGTTTAACCTTCTCGACCGGCCCAGAAGACCGGTTTAGCTTTGTGTATATAATATCCCATATCAGTATGCACCGTTGATGAACTAAATATGCATTTCGTAAGAATTAAATATGTATCATGAATTAACTAAATATGCATCATAAATTAACAATATGAACATCATTATATATTTAATTTAAATATAACAAGTATGCATTTCGTATTAACTAAATATGCATCATAAATTACCTAAATATGCATAATAAATTAAATAAATATGCATCATAAATTATCTATATAAAATGTACATTTTATTGCATATTTTTTTTGCTGCATATTTAGTTTATTCATGATGCATATTTAGTTGTGCATATTTAGTTTATAAGGACTGCATTAGCAATTCATACCCCATGCATATTTACTTCATATTAAATGCATGGTACTGTATGCATATTACTCATACATAATGCATACTAGCGGTCAACAGGTCAACGACGGAGTCAACGCCGGAAGTCAACGATTTTTCGCCGGAAGTCAACGGCCAACGCCATAGTCAACTAAAAATTATTTTATTATTTAATTAATGTATATTTTAATTGATTTTGATCTAGACAAAATGAGTGACTAAGATTGAATCTCACATACTCATTTTAAGGAGTGGACTCATTGGATCCACCCCATATATATATATATATATATAGATAGAGAGAGAGAGAGAGAGAGAGAGAGAGAGAGAGAGAGAGAGAGAGAGAGATTGCTTTCTTTAACCAAACTTGTGTTATTAAAATTGTGAATTTTTCATGCTATTTTATGTAAAACCAGTAATAAAATTGAAATCAAATTTTGCAAATTTAAAAATATAAGCAATGCTTAGTTTTTATCAATTATAATTAATGTAACATAAGAAAAAAGCATATAAAGGTCATTTGAAATAATTTTAGTACAACTTACAAAACACTTTCAACAGCTAGCTAGCTAATACAATTAGGAGGGTGTATTCAATTGAGATTTTTAAGGACTTTTTAAAACTTTTTAAATTTGATGACTTTTGTGGACTTTGTAGAACTTTCATGACTTTGGTGGACTTTTTGAGACTTTCAGAGAATTTTCATCAGTGACTTTTGAAGACTTTCATAATGGACTTTTTAAAACTTATTGAGACTTTTATATACTTGCAGTTATAATATTATGTTTGAATAAAATATTAATAAACGTAACATAATAACTAATATAAACAAGAATAAATGAAAAAAACAAAAAGATGTTGTATATTTTAATCCTCTAAAAATTTATGAATAAACTCA